TTAAGTGCTTTTTTTAAGATTTGCAATTAAGGAAGAGGATAAATTCCATGTACAGTACATTATTGCTCCGTTTCCTTCCTTTCTTTCTTCCTTCTTTCCTTCTTCCCTCCCTCCATTCCTCTCCTTTTTTGTCAGCTTCTCTCCACTTAATGGAATTTGCCTTTTTAAAATGTAATCTAGTCCTTAAAGATTAACTATAAAGTCTTTCCACATGAAGAATGTGTGCCAAATAGGAGTTGCATTAGACTTCAATAAGTCCCCAAAATCAATAACGTTATGAGAATTCAAGTGATTTTGAACTCTACAAGGTTACTTTTTCAAAATTAGCCTTTTTTTTTCAGTCTCTCAAATATGGGAGGAACTTGCTGGATTCTCCTCTGTTATTTGAGTTTTAGCTTCTCTAGGGAGAATGTTTCCTTGACTGCGAGGACACTCTTCCAAATGAAATGTAAGCTTAGATCTCACTGTTATGGCTCTCAAATTGTTTGACTTTAACCTTGTGGACATTCTTGCCTCCTTCTTTTGTTTTGCATTCCCTGTTAGCAGCCCAGAGAAGAAAAAAGAGGCCTCAAACTCAAACCAGTACTGTGTGAATTTCCATCCTTTCTTCAATGCAAACCATATTTCATGGGACAGAGGTTTGCTTATTGGAGGTCTGCCTGTCTCCAAGGATCTCTGCCCATCCCACTATATCCATGATGGTGAACCTATGGCACATGGGCCCGAAGTAGCATGTGGAGCCGTGTCGCCTGGCACGTGCGACATTCGCCCATTCCTCTTCTGGATTTCAAGCATGCATGCATCCACGCCGATCGGCTGGCATGCGTGCATCAGTGCTGGAAACCGGAAGAGGTGGTCTTCTGTTTTCCGGCATGAGCATGTGCTCATGATTCGGCATGGGCGCATGTGCGGCAGTAACTGGAAGACTTGCATGTGCATGCCAAAAATTCATTTTCTAGCGTGCACATGCCCCCTGGGCAGCTCCTCTTCCTGGTTGCAACCCGGAAGAGTGTGCGAATGGATGTGAAGTGTGTGCGCATGCGAGAAGTTCTCCCTTTTCGGCACTCACTCAGTGCAAAAAGGTTCGCCATCACTGCACTATATCCATCAGGATAAGTGCATGCTGGGCCCAATCAGTGTCATCTATTGGGACCCAGGAAATGAGTCTCAAAAAGCTCCTTTCCTCTGGATCAGCACTGTAAGATCCATACAGCTGTCACCATGGAGGGTGTTCTGTAAATCCTTGAAAACCTGGCTTTGCTTCAGGCCTGGGGGTGGGTGGGGCGTAGAGTGGTTGCTGAGTCCCTGTGAGGTTTTGAGAGCATTGTGTTATTCCAGATGTCCATCGTCTGTTCAATTCTTATTCAGGATTTTTAAAATGTAAGCCACCCAGAGGTGTTTGAAATCAGGCAGGCTCCAAATCAAATCAAATGAATAAATGTTAGTTTTCTGCTTCCCCTTTTGTATGGGATTTTGTAACGGCTGTTGTTCTTAGCAGAACTGAAGGTCACTTACCAATCCCCTCCCAACTGTTTCTGAAGGCTTGGGAAATAGAAAAGGCGGCAATATGGAAAAGCCCTAAAACAGTCATTTATTGCAGATAAATGCATTGTTACACTTTTGGTGTACATTGTACACTTACGCTGTAAGGATTCATCCCCACAATATCTGTTCTAAGTTGCTCGCTCGCTCTCACGTTGGAAGCACCAAGGCCCTTGTGGGTTGAAAGATTAGCGGGTGACATCACCATTGCTCAGGAGACGCCTGGTTAGTGCCTCTTTCATGTCCCCCTTTAAGTTGCCCACCAGAGTGGTACTCATCTCACTACTTGCAGTTGCCAGCTTTCAAGCTGCTGGGTCAGCAGCAGCTGGAGCGAATGACGGGAGTTCGCCCCATCACACAGCAGCACTCGGGTCTCAAAAGTGAGCTTGCTGGTTGTTAACCCAGCTTCCTAACCACATGAGCTACCACACTCCTATTCTAAGTTACAGTCAATGAAGTGAGGAGCCGTGGTTTTTCAATCCCAGCAGGTCCTGGAATTACTATTCCCCATCAGGTGAGCTTCAGGTGCACCACAACAAACTCTCTTGCATTGCTACATTGTGTGTTGAGACCATAGACGGCCAGAATAGAATGATCTTTTGAAAAGAAATTGCTGTTAAAAAGAAGTAATGAACCATGTCTTCCCTATAAAGCTCTACATGCAGACTGTAAAATATTTCAATTACATCAGGGGTGGGTTAGTCAATTTCAGGACTTTACGTTCCGCAGATCATCGGTAGGCCAACCTGTTTCAGAAATTAAAAGAGAGGAAGTGGCTGGGGAGGAAAAATCACTACAGTATGCGCATACCTTGCAAATGAGCCCAAAGTCTGTTCCTAGTGTTTTAAAATCATGAACTGATATTGCATTGGTTGAGTAGAACTTTGGACATTTCCTGTACTTAAGAAATCTTCTGCCTTAATTTATAAATCACTTGTTAATCATTTGTGCAACTTTGCTGCGTTCAAATTATAACCAACTCCAGAGACTGGCTTCTGGAATTAGCGTGGGTGAAATCATAAAGCTCCCTTTAATGTGTTCCTTTGTCCACCCAAGCCATCCAGCTTTCTTTATCTCCTATTCAGAAGCCTGCCTGCCTTTATATCTGTTGCTCAGGGAAGTTAGTCTCATTAGCCTTTCTGTTTTTAATTGCCCAAAGAATATGGCAATTAGCTTTTCTTTTTCTTTTTATGCTACTTTCTCTTTCTGTTGGGGTTGCTCCAAAATGGTAGATTTGAAAAGAGGGACAGAAAAGAATTCTGTAAAAAAAGAAAAAGCAAGCGGAAGTGAAAAGGGTACCCCACCAGTTTGGCATAGAAGACAGGCCCATTCATTGAAACTAGCTGCTCCCATTCTCTCTGAATCTACAGATGGCCAGCAAACAGGACAAGCAAGCATTGCTACCCAGGGAGAACAGCTACACAGCTGGATTCCTTGTAGCACAGCATTGCCGGGATTTCTCGAAAACACAAGGCTATTTATACGCCTTTTTTTTTTTGCACTTGTATTGCACATTTCATTTAGCTCATGCCATTGACTGAAAGAGCCACAAAAATGTGGAGATACATGCGCGCACACAGGGCAATCTTTAGAAAATAAGCTACAGGATGGAATTGTTCTACCGTTCAAAGTCCTGCCAAGAATAGGTTTCTAGCATCTGTAGGAGGATAGAGAACTAGGGGCAGCCAACTCAACTCAGGGGATAAAAACACTTCTCCCCTCTTGCCTAAGAGTTTCTGTTCTGTTTATGATTGTTGGAAGAAATGTCCTTCTGGGTTCAGCTCCAAGTGTGGAAAAAGACACTGGAAACATAGAGGCTGCTTGGAGAGATGGTTTAATGATGGACAGGACCACATGGCTTGAGGTCCTGAACAGAAAAGGGGGATCACATCCTTCCAGATGTTGGGTGAAGAAGAAAAGAGAAAGAAGGGCTGAAAGTTCCTGGCTTTATACTCTCTGTTTCCTGTTCCTGTGTAAGAAATGTATTCTGATTGGTTGTCAGACTTCCATGGGGCCATGCAGAGGCAACTTTGTAAACTTGTTTTGAGTCCAAAGTTTGACTGAGTTTCAGATGCCATATGGTGAGTTTCTGTGGAAGGCTAATATTTATCATGCCTTAATCCCATCACT